TGAGGAAGGGTGGAAGGGGTGAAGGGAGGGCAGGGGAAGGGGAAAAAAATAAGAACCAAGAGACTCATGTAATGGTACAAGATCCTAATGATGAATGTAACTGTATTTTATACCTAAAATGTACCAATAAACTTAATGGGGGGGGTAGCATGAATAATGTGACTAGGCAGAATATAGGAAAAGAGCAGAAAAATATTTACTGACAACCATCATAAAAAGTAAGTGCAAACAGCCGGACATGGAAGGTTGACAAGAGAATGCTGAATGTGATTATTTAAATAAGGTAAAATCAAAGGAACTACTCAATTTATTCAAAAGTTATCCTGGAGTTTTATATGAACTTTACCGGCCAGTCAGTTACAGGATTTTCAAGAAGGGGCAGCCTAGTATAAACGTGTAAGAATAGGAACTCTAGAGCTAGACTGTCCTGAGTCTAAATTCTACCACTTATCAGAACTGTGACTTTGGGTAAGTTATTTAATCTCTTGCAGTTGCAGACTTGCTAGCTGTGAAATGGGACAATGGTATGTACTCAAAGGTTTATGCTGAAGATTAAATGAGTTAATTCATGAAAGCACTCAGAATAGCCTTTAGCTGTTTTATAATCAAGAACACTAATGAGAAAAAGCTATAGTTCACAGTAAAGATGAGATTCTGCCAAGAGGAAACAAATACTTGTTATAATATTTTGGGGGGAGGGTGGAGAATCCATTTTAATAATTTACCTACCAATCATAATAGCATGCTTCAGAAATCAAAGATGATCAGTTCCTTCATAACAAATTTACTGACCAGTTCCTAAAGAAGCAAATTCTTGGTTTACTGAATGTTGAAAGATGTCTACTTGGGCCAGGGTTTTAGCTCAGTGGTGCTGCACTTGCAAGCACAAGGTCCTGAGTTCGATCTCCGGTACCCGCCCCCCCAATAAAATAAAAGATAAATATGTCTACCTGATGCGCCAGTACTGAGCATTTGTTCTGAGCTGACTTGATTGTGATAACTTCTTGAGGAGTGTCCCAACTCAGGTACCTTTTAAAATAAAGTGGAGAAGTATAATGATTTGGGTCAATTTCCTCTTAAAATCAAGACATTATAAAAGTGATCTATTTTTAAAAAATAAATTGATAGATTAATTAAGTAATTTCAATTCTTCTAGAATGTTGATAGATAAAATTGTTTTTGATCTAAGACTACTCAAAATTTAGGAAAAAAAATTTCCACTTTAAAATGAAAGTTATAAAAATATTAAAATATTATTTTCACAAATTGTATACACATATTCACTCCAAAAATGTATGTCTAACTGATAAAACCAATAGTTATTAAAATAGTTCTTGAATTCTAGTAGGCAGATAATTTAACTAAAACAGACTAGCCTACAGGAAATCCTACCATAAGGTTCACCCTACATAGAAAATACTATTTGTAGGGCCAGGGATTTAGCTCAGTGGCTCTGCACCTACCTGGCAAGTGCAAGGTCTTTTAGTTCAATCCCTAGTACCAAAAAAAGAAAAAAAAAAGAAAATACTATTTGTAGAAGGGTAATACAGGATATTAAAAAATTTTTTTCAATGTATGTCAATTATTATATATAGGTCAGATACTTATTAGGTATCAAAGCAAAAAGACAAAGTCTCAGTCCTCAAATATTCAAATATAGTCACAAGGAAGGAAAAATTAAGATCAGGATAAGCACTGGAAAATTGGGTCAGGGGGTTTAAAATTTCCTGGTCTACAAGCCTTAAAGTTTTATAACAAAATCTTAAATAGTAAATCCACAGTTGATACCTGAATTTGCAATAAGAGGCGAGATATATTTTTTCAAGAATTTTTCCTGTAGTCGCTGATATACGAAGTAGCCAATTATGAGCAGTCAGGGCTATGAGTGAGGATTTATAATCTGATGGATTGGAAAGTACATCTCCCTAAAAAAAAACGAGGTGTAAAAATGAAACATTTGGCCATGAACAATATGCAGTAATCAATGTCCAAAGATAATTGTAAGTTTACTTAAAGATAGCCAAATAAGTAAACAAAAGAAGAAAGCTTCGTTTTTTTTTTTTAGTTTTTTAAGACAAGGTCTTGCTATGTAGTTCAGGCTGGCCTTGTAATATTTACTATGTAGCCCAAGCTGCCCTTGAACTCACAGTGATCTTTTTGCCTCAGTCTCCTAAGTGCTAAATTATAGCCATGCACCTACACCTGGCTCACAAAAGAAGAAATTTAAACACACAAATAGAGAATTAAAATAAGGAAAGAGTCTGGGGTATTATTTTCATCATTATCTTACTGAATTTATTCACATAAAGCATTTAAAACAGTGCCTGAAATAACTTATTTACTACATATTCAACAAATGTTAGCCAATAATAACAGAAGTAGGAGTACAGACGTTGCTGCTGTGATAACAACAGCTCTTAAAAATCACATGTAACAGCATATCTATTAACCAGCACTCTTGGGAGGCTGCTGAGGCAGGATTACAAGTTTAAGTCCAGTGTGGGGAACTTAGCAAGACACTGTCTCAAAATAAAAATTGGACTTGGGATGTAGCTCAGGGTGACTGACAGCCCTGGGTTCAAGGCCTCTTACATAAAGAAAAAGTCATATGATAGAACAGACATTCACATTATCCCCTTTTTTCTTTACTACAGGACTTGTTTTCCTGTACATGGAAGTCAATGTGGCAAAATGCAAATTATCCCATTGTTCAGTGTGCTTCTATTCCAATCCCAAATGTGAAGCTACAATCCAGAATGAAGACTGCCAAAGAGCGGAAGATGAACCTGGTTGTAAAGATGACCTGTTACCACGAGTAGCCCAGGAGAGGGAGGTGACAGGTGTGGGCACTCCTGTCACCAAGGGGCTACCACAAGGTGGAAGTATAATACAGGAAGAGGAAGAGAAGCGAAAGAGTCTGCTTTGAATTGTGGAATTAGAAGGCAGTTGTAACCACAAAGTTAAGAATAGAGAAATTGATGAGCTTGGTGTGGCAGTGCACACCTGGAATCCCGGCATTCAGGAGGCTGATGCAGGAGGATCATGAGTTTGAGGTCAGCCTGGGACAGATAGTGAGTTTGAGGTTAGCTTAGGGTACCCAGTGAGACCCTATCTCAACCAATAATAAACAAAACCCCCCCAAAAATAAATAGTCACCAAAAAAAGATTGAGAAGTTGAAATTAATTTAGTATTTGCTTAGACCAAAAAGTGAATAGAAAGGAATGAGGGCACAGTTACGTTACAGATGCTCCTAAAGATGCGTCTTCTCTTAGAGAAAGAAAGAAGTTTGCTTTTTGTTTGCTTCTTGGAGATATTTTTAACTTTTCTACCAGAAGTCTTACACTAATTCACAAAAAATATAAATACTTTTATTTTACAATGTCTTATGTAAGTATATTTCATGGAGATTTAAAAGTTTTAAAAAATATACCATTTATAACTTGCTTATTAAAAAAGCATTTGAAACAGCTTATATAACAGAATTGAATTATTCCTAAACTAAAAGTTGTCTTTGACATATTCACAATATTTCACATATTGTCTCAAAAAAAAGTATTAACTTAAAAGTAGTTTCACATTGGTATATTAACAACAATACAATATGCTTCTTAAAATTTTTCTTAATGGAAAATCTTGCTTCACTGCAAATGAGAACACAGTGTTTAAATGTTAAAGAAGTGTGAATAGAATTAGTTTACTACAAATTTTATTTTTGCAGAATTGCTTTGATATGACAAGATTGCTCTAAAATTTTCTGTTTTGCAGTGGTGTATTCAAAATTCTCAAGTAAGAAATTTGTCATTTTTCAACCCCACCCCCAACCCCCATGAAATTGGATTAAAAAGCTTTAAATTGCTGGCAGCACAACAGTTATTTATACCTTTCAAATATGAAGTTGAAGAAGAAAATGGAAATTCCAAGCTTCCTAACATTTAAAAAGATTTCTATGAACAGAGATTAAGTATCCAATGAAAAAGAAACCAGCAGTTCCATAAAACTACACTGTATAATCAGCCTAATCAAAAACAAAAACAAAAAAACCAAAAAATGCATTTTAACAGAAAATTCAGAATATAGCCTCTTATCCTTCAAGCATTATTTTAGGCTAAATATTGGTTATCTACTCGGGGTTCTGTTTTTCCTAAAGAACAAACCAACCAAATTTAAAGACCTGCTTAATTTCTTAGTAGTTCTTAAGGACATTCCTTAGAACAGTGATGACATGGAAAAGTTATTTAGTCCTCAAAAAGGAAATTCTATCAAAAGAGTTTGGGAAAATGATTCATAATCATTACATACATTACTATTAATATTAAAGGTTCTGATAAGTAATTTTATAAACAAACTTGTTTAATCTTTTATACTCAGAATGTTCCAAACTTATTTTTCCACAGTCTAATTTCTCTCAACTCCTCTGGCACTTACTTAACTTTAAAATCCCACAGAAACAGTGGTCTGAAAAATACTACCAGGGCAATGTTGGTCTGATGGAATGAGTGTATCTTGTTATTATATATTTTATTTTTATCTTAAAATTTTCATCGAGGAAACTTGTTAATTCATTTTCAATGATCTACTTAACTGTAGCTCTACTTTATTATTTCAGTATAGTAAGTGGAATAATTTCTTAAAGACAATATAAGTTAATTATAAACTAGCTTATATTGCTATAAAAATTTTAATCAGTCTGTTTCCTAATTTTCAAGATTTAAAGAGATTGTATCTAATTTTAAAACTATTAATAATATTAATGATTTTTAAGATAAGGACAAACGATAATCAAGGATATATTCTTTTTGATTGCTCTAAAGATTCAGGAATTACTATAATCCTGAAGTTTCAATATTTTATATATTAACAATAACTAGTTCTTCTAGGCTAAAAATGCTTTAAAAACAAATCTCACCACTGGACATTCCCATAATAAAGCATCCTCTATTTTTTCTGACTTGGGACATTTTGGCATCTCATAAAGTTTTCTTGGCTCTGATGCAACACTGTAAAAGAGAAAAAAAATAAATTATTATTATTATTGATAACAGAAGCAGTCGTTGCTCAAGTTTGAGATACCTTTTCATACAGAGATTTGGAAAACCAAAATATAATTTGGTATTTGCTTTCCTCTTCTTATGCACATTATCTTTTTTTCTGGTCACAGAATTTGTAATATATACATATAGAAAAAAATCTGAAAATATAATAAGATTAAAAGTTTATAATACTATAAAAGTCATCAAAAATTATTAACATCTTGGTTCATTTTCCTCTAGTTTTTCTTTACATTCATTAGCTGCCTATACATTGTTTTCCCAAATTGGTTCATATTTCTTTATCTCTGAACATTTATCATGGATAGCTCTGTTCATTTCCACTGATTTCAAAAACTGTTTATGAACAATATTTGGAATGAAAATTTAAAATGAAAATTTGTAGATAAAAATGGTTCCATTGTTTTAGAATACAAATTCATCGATAAAGGAAATAATCTGTAATTTTTTTTTACTCCTAAATCACCTTTTAGAAAGACTGAAAATGCTTATATGTCTACCAATGCTGAACACTGTACCTTTGATGGGACAGTCTTATTTATTTATTTATTTATTTAATTTATTTTTTTGGTACCGGGGATCGAACTCAGGTCCTTGTGCTTGCGCAGCAGCCAGCGAAACCACTGAGTTAAATCCCCAGCCCCTTTCTTATTTATTTTTGAGACAAGGTCTTGCTATGTTGCCCAGGTTGATCTGTATGATTTTTCCTGCTGCAGCCTCCTTGGGGACTGGGACTACAGGCATGTGCCACTGTGCCTGACTGTACTGTACTTCTCTGTTACTGAGAGATGATCATAGACGTTTTCATTTAACTGAGACACTTTAAAATTAAACTATTGTTAAAAGAGAAAGTTTTCAAGGTGACATTTTATTCACCTTTGATATTCTGATTGAAAGCTTTAAACTGCACAGAATTTCACAAGAATGAAAGCAGACTCATCAGTTCTAACCTGGGGGTAAAACATGTTGGGTGGCATGTTACAGAACTCCAACATTATTTACCATTAGAACATTAATCAATGCCACTTAGTCTCATTTCAAAATATGGTTCTAAATTAAATCAAGTACTTCAAAATTGGGGAAGTTATGAACTTGAAATTAAACGGTAGCAGGTGTGATAACATTATGATCATGTAAGAAAACATCCAGATTTCTACTTCCAGCATGACAGGCTTTGTGGACACTCTTCAGCAAAACTGGTAAAAAATTATAAAAGGACAACCACTGGGGACATATATCGTATGAAGACACATTTATTCAAGAAAAATCTAGTAGAGCTCAATAGGAATAGCAAGCCTGTGCTGTTTAACCCATGGCATGCTTCCTTCCTCTACACTCCCAGCTCCGCAAAATGGAAACTCTACTCATCTGTTGTAGCCAGAGCACAAGGCTCCCTCTCCTGGCTGTTTCGTTTAGAGGGCTAACTTTGAGGGAGAGAGGGACTGCAGGCTTATCTAGCTTCTAGTTGTGGGCTGCTGAAGCTGAGCCCTGGGTGAGTGCAGTAGAGAAACAAGGGGCTCACTTTTTCTACCCAGGCTCCAATGGTGAAATGGGGCTGTACCTTGGGTGCAGTACAGCTGAGAATACTAGGGCCCTGACTGGCCTAGTTATATCATATTTAAACAAGAGAAAGTCAAAAATGAAGAGAAAAATCTTAAAAGAAGCTGAAGAAGGAAAAAAAATCACCTTATCCATTAGAGGAACAAGAATAAGAATTACATCAGGCCTCTTTTCAGAGATCATACAAGCAAGCAGAGAATGGAGTGAAATATCTAAAGCATTCAAATAAAAAAAACAACTCCACCAACTTAGAATTTCAGTACCCAGAAACACTATCTTTCAAAAGTGAAGGAAAAAATATAAATTTCTCAGACAAATAAAGCTGAGGGAATATGCTGGACACAGACCTGCCTTGCAAGAAATATTAAAAATTTTTCCAAGAGAAGAAAATGATATGTCAGAAAATCAGTTCTACACAAAGAATGGAAAAGGGTTAAAGAAGGTAAAACAAAATTTCTTGTTTTTTAAATCTTTATTGATTTAAAAAAGCTTGCTCAAAATAAAAACAGCAACATGGTATTCAGTGATTAGAACAGAAAGATAAGTAACATGAATGACAGCAATGGGAGGAATTGACAGGGGAGGAATCGGGAATACTCTGTTCCTGGGTCCCAGCACCATCCATGAAATAAATGATCTTGTGTACAACCAAAAATGCACTAATCCCTTCCTCAGAGTTTGGCTTTCTAGCTCTCTTATATGTCTTTTTAAAAATGGGAATTATCTTTTGAGACTTTGGCTTCCAAGATTACAATACTTTCTATCCCATCTTTTATGTAAAACAAATGACAGTTAAAACATGTATTTTATCTTTTGCATCATATGTTCTTCAAACAAGATTTTTCTACATGTTCTTAGAAATAGTTTCTTAACCATTTCAAACAAGGTGTAGAGTAACAGATATTTTCTTTTTCGTGTTCCAAGTTAATACCTGTAAAGATTTCAACATTAAAATACAGTAGATCACATGAGTTCTAAGTTTTTACTTTGATATCCAAAGTCATTACATGTGCTTATAATTTATGGTATATTTCTCCTTGTATTAAGTGTACTTTTCTTGCATATATTTTTATAACTTTTATTTTGATGATATGTCCTTTTTAGTTATCATATAAGAAGAAACATGCCAGTGTTTTGAGTTCCCTCTTGTCTGAGAACACCAGGACCATACATTGTCACATTATATGTAATGATTTGTAGTAATAAATCTATCCACACACCAAAAAAAAGACAATACTTGAGATTTTAATACTTTATATTTAATATTTTAGGATTGTGTATTTAATCTTTTATGATTTCAACACTCAGGATTATAGCATTAAGGATGTATCTTTTGGGATTATGATTGGGAACAATGAAAATGCTGTAAAATTAACCATGGTGATGGGAATGTAAGCATTATTGATATTAAATGAGTAAATGGTATAGTATATGTCTATCCTAATAAAGTTCTTATGAAGAAAATTCCCATAATTTTTAGAGACATAAACTGAAGTGAGGGAATGTGATAAAACAAGTGTAGCAAATTTTGATAGTTTTTGAATCTAAATAATTGGTATTGTGGGGGTTTACCATGGCTTTTCCTTCAGTCTCACTGTTGAATGGTTGGGGATGAGGCAGACTTAAGACATCCTGGATCTATCAATATGCTTTTGCTTGAAAAATTCTCTTTAAAAAAGGCAAGTAATCAGGCGTGGTGGTGCACACCTGTAATTTCAGCACTAGGGAGAATGAGGCTGGAGGATCACCACAAGTTTGATCCCAGCCTGAGCTATAGAGTGGGTTCAAGGCCCGCCTGAACTACTCAGTGAGACCATACCTCAAAAAAAGCTAGTACTTCAAAAACAAAATCCTTCTCCAAAACATATAATTATTTGTTAACCAGTTTATTTGACTCTGTTGTCTTTTTTTTTTTTGGTACTGGGTATCGAACTCAGGACCTTGCAGTTTCAAGACAGGCGCCAGAATCACTAAGCTAAATCCCTGGCCTTCTGTTATCTTTTAAGTATCATAAAAAACTAAACAGTTCTCTGAGCAATCTATCATTTTGCCTATTTCTTTTCTCTTTGAAATATTTTCCAAAGTCCAATCTACAACTTTAGATTTAACAAGATTTTAAAATTACATGCATTTCACCACTTAGTCTTGTTTTAGATCCATTTTGTTCACTGTCCTATTTCACTAAGTACTAATGTAGTCACGTGGCTCTTAAAAATTACAGATAAGATTAACAGTCCGGCAAGTGACAATAAAAATTATCACTAAAAAGTTACCTGCTGACACAACACCGATAATTGTCAAAATATATTCTTCCTCTCTCATAGGCTATAGGTGATTTGGAATGAGTTGTCCAAACATTTTTAAATTTAGTACTTTCCTGAAAGACACAAGGAATTTTGGTTTAGGAAAGAACTCATAACCCTGTACTATGCATCCACTTTACGCTGGATGGTTAAATTTATCATTTTCAAAGTAATTTCATATACGTTATTTTTAAACATTATTTTATGTCTTCCTCACTCTGCCCGCAAGTTTTGGATCAATTGTTGCCCAACTTTTAAAAAGACTGCAGAAAGGCATAAGAAGCTTAAAACTAAAACCATCTGGTGGCCCTATTAGCACCATTTGCTAATCCCCTCCCCATCGCCTGTGACTCTCTCTCAAAGGGAGTCCTAGCGTGTTAATCCTACATCCCAACCCAGGCGTCCCGCTGTTTTTGTCCCGTCCCCGGCCTGCAGCAGGTCACCTGGCACACCAGCACCCGCAGGATGCCTAGGTTTGTCCTCTGCACCACGCCTGCGTCGCGCGCGAAGAAGCCCAGCGCCCGGCGACTCAGCTGGTTGCACACGTTGGGCTTCCGGTTCGGGCCCATGGAGGCGCAGGCAATCGGAGGGTTGGCTGGGCTGAAGAGCGACGCTCCCCTCACTCCCGCACGAAGCAGTACCCGCCACCTCTGAATTTCAAAGAAAAGCTGATACAGGAGCCGGGGAAAGGGCAACCGGCGGCAGGGCGAGGGAAAGCCGAGCCAGCACTCCCTAAGCGCAGGGAAGAAGGAAAGAACAAACAACCCCTTCCTGGCCAGGTCCTCAGGAGCTCTCCAACAGCAGACAGGGCGCTGTCGCTGTACCTCGTGGCCTGCCGTAGCCACCCACTCAACGGGAAATGTAGTTCCTAGTGCCCTCTGGCTTCTCAGACTACAATTCCCATCAGGCCGCGGGGCGCGAGGTCCTGGCCCGCCCCGCCTCAACCCGCCCCCCCCGGCTCCGCCCTTCGGGTGCGCCTTGGGCTGCTACCCCTTTCCGGGTGTACACGAGGCGTTCGCTGCGAACCCCGGGGGCGCTATACTGCCGCCTCCTGGTCCCACTTCCTCCGAGTGCCTGCTTTCGGGTTTGCGTCCTTTCCCGCCTTGCTACCGTAACGCGTGTCAACCTCCGCCGCTCGCCAGTTGTCGGGAAGGCCGCTGTGTCGAGTGCTACCTTCCTAAGGTACGCCCCGTGGCTTTCCCTTTAGCTGTGGACGCTGTGGATGAAGTTGACTGTTAAACATTTTGGGTGTATAAATACTGTGCTTTGTACAGTACGTATTATGTTTACTGGTAGAAGATGCTGGCTTTCCCGCTGAACTGGGATTGAATTACTTTTTCCCAGAGGCCCACCTTTGTGTGGCCTGCGGGGACAGTGGCTGGTTTGGCGGTAATTACTACGTTTTTCTTATAAGGAATAAAACATGAAGTCCTTACATTTTTATTGGACTAAGATATTCCACGTTGATTTCTCTAAGTAAAAGACAACATACTTTGTTAACTGGCCCTGCCTGTATGTTCAAAGCTCCTAATACACTAAAATTTCAATAACCTTAGGTTCCATTGCTTTAAGTTCCTTGAGGGTAGTGGCTGTGGATCTCCCACGTGATTTGACCAGCTGCCTTTTGTTTTTAGATCCTCAAGGAAAATAAGTGATCGCATGTAACAGGCAGCCCAAAAAGCACAGTACTGGGTGAGTGTGCTGGGTCACAGTGTAGGTGTTTAGTAAAAAATGGCCATGTCTCTTTTTTCATTTTGCTGCATTTCACTTAGGGTCTGCCTGACTTTTGCTGATTTTTCATGACTTATTTACAGCATATAGTGGAGTGCTTTGTATATTTTTAGAGAGTGCTACAATGGTTAATTGGGTAATTGATTAATGCAGCTGTCACTAAGAAAACCGGAACTTTGAAAAGATAACTGGAATTTCTTTGGATGAAATGAAATTCAGATAATTGCTAAATCTAACTCATCGTCTCTCTCTTTTCTCCTTCCCTTTTGCTCCCCTACTTGTTTGTCTTCCTGTGGTCACTATCTCAGGATCAGATCACCAAGGGAAGTCATTCTACATGACTTCCACCTACAGTCAAGTCCTTCTAACACTTACCATCTTTTCATCTGAGTAATCTCAGACCTTACCTTTTCTATCACATTATTAAGTAGATTTGTAACTACTCTTGGGTAGAAAAATAGTGATTTTTCTAAATCACAAAGCTATTAACGTCATATTACAGTCTTTCAGTGGCTCATGACCACTCATAGCAGAATTTCTCAAATCAAAATCAATACTCAGGATTTTCCGTTGTTAAAATGCTTTAATATATTAAATATGTGCAAACACAAAACTAGATAAAAACTATATGTTTTGTACAACTACAATACTCAAAATATAGACGTTAAATGGAGCAAAGCTATAAAACCAGTAAATTCAAATGAATACTTATTCATTGTGACCAATGAGACTGTTTGGCTGGACCTAAAGAATTCCAAAAGTGAACCTATTCTGTCCTCAGTGGGTACCTTCCTTACAGAAGGACTGTCGGTATTGCCCTATGCCCCTTGTCTTTACTTAAACCACATGATTTCCTTGGATCTTCACTTGACAACACAATATGCATGCAGTAGACGTCCTTTTGTTCTCATTTTGCACCAATGAATAATGGTACAACTTGTTGCATACACAGTCCACTTCTAAGTACAAATGTGCAAACTGAAGTCTTATGGCAGTGCTCACTGAAAGGTGGTCATCCAGATGATCCAGAGTATCCTTTTGTTAAAATTCCTTTTTTAGAATTTTGTCAAATTGAAAATAAAAGGTTCTCCCAGTGAAATCTCTTAGTCTTGAGGATACAGGTACAAATCCCTAAGGGTCCACATAGATACTTTATAGATAGACTGGAATCTAAGATTGGAACCTCTTAGTGTAGTATGCAGAGCACTCCATTATCTTCATCTTGGTCATATTTTCAGCTTCCTCTCCCTGGCTATCCCTCATATTTGCCCTTGTGGTTCTGACATTCACGTTCTTTCTTGGCCAGTATGCCCTTTATACTTGAGATTTTCTTTGTCTGGAACTCCCTTCTCCTCTCATCCATTATTAGAAGACTCTTCCAGTTGTCAAAGTTGTACTTGGACCCTTTTCTTCCCACCTTCAGTTTAGTAGCCTTGCATGTGCCTCTAGGTTATTGTGCAGATTGTTATGACACTATATTAGAACTGTCCTTTTTCTGTCTCCCCAATTAACCCAGTCAGATACTGAGACTTAATATCATTCTCCCTCTTTAGCACACTGCCTGAAATGTGGTTAATGTATGTGTTTGTTGAAAGAATGAATGACCTGTAAAAACAACATATAGAACCTATTATCAGTAGCTAATCGCTTCTCAGCCTTTTGGTTAGGATCAAATGTGTCAGGAGCTAAATACTTTTACATAGATACACATTTAGTCTCCCTTTATTCTTTAAATCAGTAGGAAACTACAATATTGATAAGAAGAAATAACTTTCAAAAAGTTTAAACCCCTCAGGGTTCCATCTATAATGTAGATATTTTCAATTTGTTGAAGGTAAAATAGCATGAACATAGAGACTATGATTGGGAATGACTTCTTTTTCTTTTAGGAGTAAAACAAAACATTAGCTTTCCTCCTGCCTATTCTTTGTGTCTATAAGTTTGCAGATTACTAACCCTCTTAGCCATTGTATTTTAAAACAAGGAAGAATACGAATTCAGAAGTTAATACAATGCTTTGCTCGTTCATATGCTTTGCTTAAAGAAGCATAGTATAACTCAATAAATGTATAAAATGATCAGGTTATTAAACTTGAACATTTGTTCAGAGACAAATTTGAACCAATACAACACATAATTATTTTTATCCATAGTGCGCTGGCAACTATTTTGTCATAGGATATATCAGGGAACAAGATAGACATATTGGGAGGGGCATCACAGAGGAGAAACAGTCCATGGCATGCAGAAGGCAGGAAAATCAGCAAGCAGCAAGTGACAGGCAGCAGCAGCAACAGCCTTCTTTTGGTCCCTTATATTCTATCTAGGCTACCTGTCCTTACTCAAACCCAGGGTGGGGCACCTTTAATCCTAGCATTGCACCATAAATCAATCCCAGTGTCACATCCTTAATCCTAGCATCATACACTCTAGATCCAGTTACCTCTGAAAAGCTCCACCTATGACCGCATAAAGGTTTGGGGGGACATTTAGATACAAGTCATATCACATCTCTTATGGGCCCTGTGTTCCCTGCCCACTTCTTTTTGAGACAGGGTCTTGGGCTGTAATTCAGGCTGGCCTTGAACTCATTATATAGCCCAGGGTGGTCTCAAACTTGGAGCAATTCTTCTGCCTCACCCACCTGAACACTGGAATTATAGGCGTGCCCCACCATGCTTGGTCTCTTTCTTCTTTATAAAAATAAAATATATAACTGGGCATGGTCATACATGCCTGTAATCCCAGTACTTGGGAGGCTGAGGCAAGAGGATTGCTGCAGGTTCGAGGCCAGCCTGGGCTATACAGTGAGCTCAAGTCCAGCCTGAACTATGTGGCGAGACCCTGTCTCAAAATAAAAATATCTGAATGCTGTTGAACATCAAATATGTAAAATTATACTATATTTACATGCTCATCTACAGCTTTCCCTCAATATTATACTTAATAATGTTGCTGTGGTTAGTTAACTGACTTACTAGTGTAGAGTATGTGATTGTATGAATTTACTACAGTTTATTTTCTACTGGCTGGGCATTTTTTTTTTCTTTCCTCTCAAAAGTTCAGAAGTGTCATTATGAACATTATTATACTTGTCTTTTACTACACGTCACAGAGTGTATTCATTTTCTGAGCTATGCATGTGGTGGACACCTGTAATCCCACCTACCCAAGAGGCTGAGGCAGGAAGATCACAAGTCCGAGTCTAATCCGAGTCCAATGCCTAGATTCTTACCTGCACGAATTTTTTGTGGTATGCTGAATTACACAGTCATCTCCAAGATTCCCGCTCCCTTACCTTTCCATCACTGTACACCTTCCATATAGTCCCCGAGTATGGATGGGACCTGTGACTATGCTGGATGGATTGTTGCTTCCTTGATTAGGTTATTTTTATATAAGGTCCTGTTTTAGCAGATGTCAGAAACACTTTTTTTGTTGTTGTTGTTTTTTTGAGACAAGGTCTCATCATATAGTTCAGGCTGCCCTTGAACTCACTATCTAGCCCAGGCTGGCCTCAAACTTGTGGCAATCCTCAACTTCTCAAGTGCTGGGATTACAACCATGCACCATCATGCCCTGCTAACATTCTGTTGAAGAAGCAAATTGTCATGTTCTGAAAAGGACCATATAGCATGGAACAATAGGCAACTTTTAGGAGCTGAGGGTCGCAGTCCTACAGTGGCCAGGAGCTGAATTCTTTTAACAACCCTGGGGGTGTAAAAGGACCCTGAGCCTCAGGTGAGATTGAGCCCTGGCTGATATGATTTCAGCCTGGTGAGATGCTGAGCAGAGAGCCAGGCCATGTTGTGTCAAGAATTCAGTACCATGGGTCGGGGATTTAGCTCAGTGGTTTCGCCGCCTGTTGCACAAGTGCAAGGACCCGAGTTTGATCCCCGGTACCAAAAAAAAAAAAAAAAAAAGAATTCAGTACCAGAATTTTGAGATAATAAATGAGTGTTGGTTTAAACTATGTACTAAGCTCGTGGTTGTTACACAGCAACATAAAATGAACATACTTTTTTTTCTTGCAGTCCTGTGGATTGAACAAAGGGCCTGATGTATGTTGAGCAAGTGCAAGTGCTCTACCATTGAGCTACATCCCTAGCCTTTTTTTTTTTTGAGATAGGGTCTTGCTAAGTTGCCCAGTCCAGGCTTGCCACCCTCCTACCTCACATCCCAGAGTGCTGGAATTACAGGGATAAGCCCCCTCTCCCACCTGTAAGTGGTGTATTTTTAGATAGGTTTTTAAGCTCTATTTTTGTTAGTATATAAAAATAGAATTATGTTTCTGTATATTGGTCTCTTAGCAACCTTGTTATTAGTAATAATCATTTGTAAGGTTTAGGATATTTTTCTATGTATATATTCATGTCTTGAGCAAATCGTGATAGTTTTGCTACTGTACTTCCTTATCACCCTTTTTACCTTTTTATTCCCTCTTTTTCCTT